AACCAATTAATCGGTAGTCCTAACGGCCTACCTCTTTCCTCTTTCCTACTCCGTGTCACCGACCGTCGCCCTCCCCCCCCCCCCCTTCCTTTTCCTCTCCCTTGTTCACCACGTGCCCCTCCCCCCCCCCCCCACCCACTTAGTTGTGGAATGCTGCCACCCCTCCTCTCCAAGCTCACTATAAATGCTACACCCTCTCTCACTCTCTCTCTCTCCCTCTCCCTCATGCCACCTTCCTTGGCCTTAAAATTTTAAGGCTTTCCATTGAACCACCATTAGAAGCTTGAGTAAATCTAGAAGTCTCTCGGCACAGGTAAGTTGTCACGACCCCGCCCCCCGATCCCCGCCGTCCCATACTGGAGGGCGACAAAGCGTGGGATCGCGAACACAGAGGTCGCGGATGTCACTCAAGTGGGAGTGGCTCAACGCATAATTTAATTTGGAATCACAGCAAACCATAAAATAAAGCAAAAACTCATACAAAACAAAATCCAAACCTGAGTAAAATAACACCATTTATATACCTATTCAGACTCCAAAATTTCCTGTTACAACAAGTTCAAGGCACAACAGGCCTGATCACAAAAATTCCAGAATTCTTCAAAATACAATTTTACACATCCACCAGGCACCTACCATCAAAAGAGTCACCAACTGGAACTTTAAGCTTCAAAACGACTGCCACCACCGTCTAGCTGTCCACACTAGGGTATCAGAGGGGAAAAAGAGTGGTATGAGCTAAAGGCTCAGTAAGCGAATTCAGCACCCTTGCATTCCAACCTAAATGCACTTCTAAAGGATGACAGACCCACAACTATCACAGTTCAAGCAAGATCACAGAATACAATCATACATTAATAGATACAGACAGAGTGAGCAGAAAAAGTTCAGATCTCAGGGCTTTCCATGTTTCATGAACTAAATAGTCATACATACATATATCACTATCACACAGTCAGAAGCTTGGCTAGGGCATACAGTTCAGACATACAGAAATTAATAGGGCCTACTCCCGAAGTAGAAGTCACATGGACCAGGTTAAGCCAGTCTTGTAACTTGTGACTTCTACCTTCATTCAGGAAGGAGGACAATGACAAGTGAGGGCCCCACTTCATAATGTCCTCACTCACGCACACAGTCCCCAGCACGCTTTGGGGTTTACGATAGGCTGAAGCCTTGCAAGACACGACCCTCCTATGATGTCATCAGGAGAGAGGGCGTTACACTGCCATTGGAGGACCTAATATGTAGTGCCCATAACAAAGTGGGGGGCGCGACCCTCCCAGTTATTTACAGTTGCATCTCGACTCCTCTCTTATCATAGGAGTCGAGGTATAGTATAGCCCACTACCAATGGAGGACCCATTGCGTAGTAGGCAATTATCATAATTACATTACCCACTACCAATGGAGGACCCATTCTGTAGTGGTCAGGATCAGAATCCGAATCAGATAAATATATTATTCACTACCAATGGAGGGCCCATTGCGTAGTGGGCAGAATCAGAACTAGAATCATAAGCAGAATCAGATAACAGAGATACAGTATCCACTACCAAGTTATTTATATTCAATTTATCATTCTTAGCTTCCATGTGATAGTAATTTGAGAGTATTTGGACCCCATTTGGTCCGTCAAAATCTTAAAGTAACAGAAGTAATAGATCTGGAAATTGCTGAGTTCGGTAATCAGTGACGTATTCTCATAATTTGATGTATAACTCTTGATTTAGGAATAACTTCAAAATTCTTTGAACATGTGAATTCAAAAGGACACATATACCATTCAAATAAAAGTGGTTTGAAGGAAATTGAACCCCATTTGATTATTTAAAACTTATGAAAACAGGAACAAACTTTTTGTGTTTTCTACAATCTATCAACAAATACATGTCCACATACTTTGAAACACAACTCTCAAATTATACAGAATTTGGACAAGGTTAAAACATGAAACTCATAGTAAAGTCGTGTATCTTTCAAATGGCTGTGGTTATGAGTCATTTAGAGTTCATTTGGCTAAACAAAACATCAGCACAACAGGAATGATATTTCTGAAATCTACTGAAATTTGATAACAGTGACATGTACTCACAAACAGAAGCATAGCTCTCAATCCGTAAAGAATTTCAACTGAGATTAAATAGAAAAATCACAGTAGACACACATAGCTTTCATTTAAACTGGTTTTTTACTCATTTTGAAGTATATAAGTCAATGAAAAGTTCAATTTACAGAGCATGCATCTTTCTGGAAATTGCAGAATTTCATACCCAAATTTTGGCACACTTCAAAGAGTGATTAGTAACTTTCAAACTAAAATAGGCATTAATGCAAGGTTATTTTCAGCTTAAACCAGTTTCACAAGGGTGTTTACCAACCAATTTTTATAGCTAACAGAAATACCTTTAAGGCTCAATCTATCATGCAAATAAGAGGTACAGTCCTGGAAAATCAGGGCTTATTCTAGCATGCTTTCATACATTCTCAAGCTTGTATTCAAACAAAAACTATGAAAGCATGGATGCTATAATCCACTTACCTGTGCCAAGAGACCTCCAGGTTTACCCAAGCTTCTAATGGTGGTTGAATGAAAAGCCTTAAAATTCTAAGGCCAATGAAGGTGGCATGAGGGAGAGGGAGAGACGGTGTAGCATTTGGAGTGAGGTTGGCGTTTAACATGGGTAGGGAGAGGAGGGGTGGCAGCATGCCACAACTAAGTGGCAAACAAAGACGGAGGGGGGGGGGGGGGGGGGGGTGAACAAGGGAGAGGAAAAAGAAGGAAAAGAGGTAGCCCCTTGGACTACCCTATTTAATTGTGCATGGTGGTAACGCATCACGCACGGTTTTCCACGCGCGGCGTTTCTCCTGTGAGGTAGCCCCTTGGACTACCCTATTTAATTGTGCATGGTGGTAACGCACCACGCACGGTTTTCCACTCGCGGCGTTTCTCCTGTGCTGTCTACTCGCCTGTAAAAAGCAATATGCTGGAAGAGTTCGGGCCTTAACAATAGATCTCTCGATCTACACTATTTTTAATGCTTTAAATTTTATAAATAAAGATGAAAATATATTTTAAAGCTATCTGAAAGATTTCCAGTATTGAAACTATATTTTTCAATACTATTTGAAGGTAGGATCTAATTTGATTGTTTAGAGCCTAGGCTCTATACAAACCACACTCCTTAGTAAAATTTGCTAAAATATGGATCTCCACATAATAACCCTATTTAAATATGGTATAGACATAACTTCTTTTCATTTTTTATAATATGGCAGCAAAGTGTGTCTGGACCGGTTTTTATGAGTAACTGATCAGACCATGGGTTCGACCCTTTAGACTACCAACTAGAAAACATACCAATTTGGTCTAGGGTTCGGGCCATTGTTACAAGTACGACAGGTTTGACCAGCCACTGGATCCTATAAGAGTCCAGTAAAAAAAAAAACTAGCTCCTAAAGTGTTACAAGTATGGCAGGTTCGACCCTTCATTGGATCCCAAATGAGTCTAGCCCAAAAAAAACTAGCTCTTAAAAAACTACATATCTTGTGGAATTATTTTGAGACATTTTAGAATTTTGGGTTGTTCTTATTGGTCTGCGTGATTCATTCTTCGGTTACAAGGGCATCTTTCAAGTTAAATCCAACTCAATAACAAATAGGTACATGTCCAAAGAAAAATACCCACAAGAGATGGGTTAGGATTAAGCAAACCTAGGCGGCTTTACAGAGAGCTAAGCAAACTCCTCCAACCCCACGAGACCATTGAACCAGGCTATCCCTCCCATTGCCCTGACTCGAGGGGTAGTTCTTAGAATGGGGAAGCCGGTTCTTGATCATATATGTAAGTGTTCCATTTACGTCGGAGAGGTCCTGAGAGAGAGGGGGAAGTGGAGGAGGACGTGCATAATGCCTGCCAAGTCCTGGGCGGCGCCCCAGTAATGCGTGCCATGCCACTGGTACATGAGTGGGCAGGTGGTGTGTGTGGCCCCGATGCGTCCCCCAGAGATCACCGCCTCCACGATGGGCATCAGAAGGCTCTGAGGGATTGTTCCATCTCCAAGGTGCTTGTTTATGAAAAGGGCGGACCAGAGGAAACCAGCCCACCCAAATAGAAGCTCGTAAGGCATGCCTAAAACTCCTTCTCCGGGGCCTGCTGGTAGGGCTCTCTCTTCTACTACCTTGGGTTCCCAAAATTACTATTCAGGACAAAGGATTGAAATTCAAGAAAAGGGGGATTTAGGGTTTTGAGAATTCGTGTTAATTTACCTCACAGAAGAGATTAAGGAACAATTCACGTCGATACTGGTCGTCTCTGTAATTAGCAACCATAGCTCCAAGGACATAAACCCCAGCTCTCCCGCATAGGAATGCAACGCGCCTGAAATAAGTTATAACGATAGTAAGTTCAAGCACTCTCTCCCACTTGATTGGTCCCGAATCCAATTCACAAGGACCACCCGACTTGGACTCAGGTCTAGAAATTTAAAAATAAGATTTTTTTTTTATGTAATGTATTATATTATCATATATTTTAAGGAAACTATCTTCTTATCCCCTATTTTTTACTTCTATTTCTCATGAGACCTAAGGATTGAAAATATTACTTGTAAGCAAAAAGGTCACCATCTTTTCTATCTTACAACCTTCTGAACCCCTTTGATCATGAAGTTTTTACCAAAAAAAATACTAAAATGACACTCTTTTCTTTTCCATTGCCGTCTATCTCTCAAAGCACCATCTCTCTCTCTCTACCTCTCAAAACAACATCTCTCTCTCTCTCAAATCACTGTCTCTCTCTCTAATACCCAAAGTATCTCTCTCTATCTATCTCTCAATGCACCATCTCTCTCTCTCTCTCAAAAATCCATCTCTCTCTCCCTCGAATACCCAAAGTCACAGAGAAGTCGAAGGCCATTATAATAGGACCGAAATCTTGTGATGTTATCCCATGCAAATCTATTCATAGCGTAGGATTTCTTTGAGCACTCTAATTTCGTAGGCTTACTTTGAGCACTCTAATTTCTTCAAAGTAACGGTGCCATAGGCACAACCTGGCCAGTTAAGGCCAGGAACGCATTGCCGGGTGAAGGGACAGACTGACCGGTCTGCCTTCATGGTGTGCACTGGCCTCGTTCCTAGCCCTTAACTGGCCGGGTCGTACCAGTCAGCCCGTCCCTTTACCCGCCGTCCCTTCACCCGGCGATGCGATCTTAGCCTTAACTAGTCGGGTCGTGCCTCCGACACCGTTACTTTGAAAAAGTTAGTGTGCCCAAAGCAAGCCCCCGCTCTGAATACAATAGCATGAGATAATATCACAGGATTTCAATCCTGTTGTGTAAGTTCCCCTCTCTACATCGTATCTCTCCTCTCTCTCACTCTCTAATAATTATCTAGCCGGTTCTCTCATGTTGTTATGGCAATATTTTCTCTCTCTACTAGCCCTCTCTGACTTTTCTCTCTACCTACCTCTCTCTTTCTCTCTCTACCCTCAAAATTAAAGCTCCCCCTCACAAAAGAAAAACTCACCACCAAAAATGGCCAAACACAAATTTTTCGACGAAGTCCAACATTTTCCAGGGCAAATGCCAATAAAAAAGGAGAAGCTTTCTCTCTCTACCAGCCCTCTCTCACTATCTCTCTCTACCTGCCTCTCTTTCTCTCTCTACCTCGAAATTAAAGCCGTTCCTCCCTCAAAAGGAAAACTCGCCACCAAAAATGGCCAAACACAAATTTTTCGGCGAAGTCCAATGTTTTCCAAGGCAAACTACCGGTAAAAAATAAGGAGCAAGCCATTTTTCAAGCGAAAACAAGTTCAAGGCAGCCTTTCCGCGATGGTATCTATAACAATACATAGGCCTCTTCACAAACGTCCTTCTTCAAACCAATTTGAAGATCAGTTGCAAACTTTTACCCAACTCAAACTGATGTCTTCCCCAAATTGAAAGAAAGACAAATTGAGTGTTTCGAGGCATTTCAACAACACCTTCAAATGTTCAAGGAGAATGTAGAGAGGGGAACTTCTATGCAACTTTAGGTATTAGAGAGAGCGATTGAGTTCTGAGAGAGAGAGAAGCGGTGATTTGAGAGCGAGATGGTGCTTTATGAGATAGACAAAAGGAAAGAGTGTTGAGAAGGTGTCATTTTAGTATTTTTTTTGGTAAAAAATTCATAGGCAAAAATTTTAAGATAGAAAAGATAGATACCATTTGCTAGTAGGAAATAAAAATAAAAAATAGAGATAAGAAGATGAGCAAGCTTTTTATGTTTCCCCTACAGCATAGAAGTTCTATCCTCCTCCTTATCGAACCGTCCATTCTGAATGGAGGGCTAAGATTGTATCAATGTCATGTCTCTACACTATTTTATTTTTAATTTTTTTTACCCTATTTTATTTTTAATTTTATTAATAAACTATTTTGACACAAAATTTTGGATGTTCATTCCTCTATTAAACTCGCACTAACAAAAAATATAAAAAAAATATTTTCAATAAAATAAAATGACCAAAATACCTTTAAAAGTTTTAAATAGTGTTTTGGTTATTATATTTTATCAAAAAAATTATTTTTAATATTTTTTATAGGTGCCCTCTAATGAGAAAATGGTATATATTCATACAATTTGTATAAAAAAAAATTAAAAATAAAATATTTTGAGACGTCAGAACTAAGATCAAATGGTGAGCGACTCTTTTGATCAAAATTGGTAAGCTGGATGATAGGGGGAGGATAGAACTTCCATGCTTCACCTTTCCCTAAGAGGAAGAAGATATTTTCTCTTTATTTTATACGAGAGGAGAAGATCTCTATCCATTAGAGGGTAAGCCAAAAGATTGAGAGAGAAACAGGGTCTCTCTCACTGGAGGACAAACAAAAACATCGGTGTCTGGTACCATAGAGGGGATACGCACCTCTTGGTGGTCCTGACGACCACGGTGCAAGTGTCCACAATATCAGATGCGATTTGGAGGTCCTCCCCGTTTCCGGTAGCCCTGTGAGAGAGCAAGCAAGTGAATGCTGTTCCTAACAAGCCGGTGTAGAGAGTAGGATCCTCCGTCCCACCTTCACTTTTCCTCCATGTGTTTTCCACCACCTGCAAATAAAGAATGAAAAAAAAAACAAAAATCTGAAACAAAAGCACAAGAAAAAAAAAAAAATACTCTCTTTCTCGAAAGGAAATTTGAAAGAAGACAGAAAAATCTGATCCTCGCACCTCTTCCTTCATGCCGACCGCGGCTTTGAGAAAGGATTCAAGTGAGGAGGAGAGGGAAACAGAGGGCTTTTCGGTTCTGCTCTCGTCACAGTCATCTCTGATGATAAGTAAAGGTAAAGCCATTGACATTGCAGAATCAGAGGGAGAGGGAGAGGGCCTCTGTACTGCTCTTCTTCTTCGAAGCAATAAGAACGTGGATGGAAAGCAGAAATGACAGCGAAGTAAGGCCACATATTTGTGCTCCGATCTTGTAAGGGAAATAGAACATCGGAAAAATAGGGCACGTGTGCTATGTTACGAGAGACGGATAAAGATAAATAAACAAGATACGATTTATAAGGGAAATATAACAGCGGAAAAAGTTTATATAAGAACGAGGCTCTAAATTAAAGCGTATCAGAAAAAAAAAAAATATTGTTAGCTAACAAAATCCTGAATCCAATCATCTTGACTTCAAGATATATAGACCCAATTACTATATGGTCAAGCCGGCATATGTAGAAATGCGAGCCTCTTACTAAATCTACTTTTAAGATAGATTTTATTTTTAAAGACGTGTAATCTCATGAATAAAAATAAATAAGTAAATTTAATAATAATAATAATACTCGTAAAAAAATATTTGGATTGTTAGTTTCCATTGTTTTTAAATAGAAACAACTACTTACATTTATCTTTACGATAAGTGCGTTACACTTTTTTGACCCCATATGTAGAAATATGGTTATGAAACAATTTTTCAAGATAAATAGTTACAATCAAAGTAAGATTTCAAATCTTAAAAATAATGCATTGTGTTAATGTATTATCTAGACCGTCAGTTTTAAAGATTTTTAACGTTTATATTTTTCCTCCACGATATTTTTGAACTTAAAATTTTGTAACTTAAAATTTTGTAATTGGATATGAAATTAGAATTTCAAACGGTCGTAAAGAGTTTTTATGCTGAAAGGCCTTTTTCGACATCATATGATCAGATTCATTTTACATCATACGCTCCTGGTGATAATGCAACAGCGCTTTATTTTTGGACATGCGATGGTCGGTGAGTATGATATGTTCCGGGAGGAGAATACTGTACATCTATTACTATTGGTCTAAGATTAATATCAGGAGTTTTTTTAATCTTAAATTTTGGAAACAACCAAAAAATTACTAGATAACTATATTTAAAAGAAATATTTATTCTTTTATTATTGACCAAAGCATACGGGTTGAATAACTGAAATCTCAAAATTTTGGGTCCTAAAATTATCAAAGATTATTTTTTTATGAGTTCTAGAGTCATTTTATTTTCATGCGGACTCTCTTGAGCCCCCATTATTTTTATAGATCTTGGATTCAAATTTGTAGTGATTCATGATCTATACTACGATGATCATGAATATAAAAAATAAAATATAAAAACTAAAATTTTAAAATATTTTTATTAGAATATTTTCTGATCCATTGGATAGAAATCTTAAGTTTTAGATGTTCATCTTAAAGAGGGACTAGTGAGTCCTCACAAAAAAAAATTTTATTGTTAGGTTTGAGGAAGCACACAGACAATATGATCCCTCGAGGTCATGAAATCTTTTAGTCTAAGTAATCGAGCGCCAGGCGTCCACTTCGATGGTACCCTGATGGGGACTTGAGTCGCGGGAATTCTTTGTGCCTTTTATTGGATAAGCAAAGGTTAATCCTCATTATTTTCATCATGAGAATTTTTAGTCACGGAGTAGCTTATGCTCGTTTTGTTTTTCATTCATTAGACTCATGCTTGTGCTCCAAAGCCACTGTGATATTCTTCTGGTTGTACAATTCATGATTCACTTGAGTCAATTAGGTTCATCTGGTTGTTGAGTATAGACACCCTTATTATATGTCATTTTTTACGTACGTGTATGGTTAGGTGCCTCGATCTCGCTTTCGGGATCAGGATGATCAGGTGGCACGCGTCTCGAGTTTCAAAAGAGACTCGGGACTTTGAGATCGCTCTTTTGGGAAGCTCGTTCGAGAACAAGAGCAGATATTACCAATCGATGAGAGATGAATTTAAGGTAGGTTCAGAACTTACTCGAGCTGGCTCGTGTGGACTCCCTCTTAGATCACGAAGAAAGCCTTCTAGTAGTAAAACTGGTTCGAAATCGCCTCTCTTGGCCTGTATTATCTTGTTTTCTGCAATCACACACATATGATAAATGTTATAGAACATGTGGGTCAACAGACCTCACCATGCCCCTTTTGTGAACGTACACAAGCGTGCACATTCATAAGAAGAAGAGAAGAACAAGAGAAGGAAGATGGAAGAGAGAAGAATTTCATTAGGCGGGGAGATCGACATAGTGACTAAGCTAGTGGATAATTGGCCGGACGTGTAGTAAAACGGGCTCGGTAACTCAAACTGGCTCAACAAAATTACTATTAGACGTCAATACCAATACTGACTAGCTAGACACAATGGTTAGTCTGTCGTGGCAATAAAATGGGCATAGTAATTATGGTACAACAACATTACAGCTGGACGACAGGACTACCATGATAGGCTAATCTCAACCCCTCTTAATTAAATGAAAGAATAACAGAATGAGTGGAAATCATAAAGAAAGAATAAAAAGTAAGATAAGAGAAGAAGAAGAGAATAGAAAGAAGGAGAGGAAGAGAAAAAAAGGAGGAGAAGAGTGTGAGAGAAAAGAGAAGAACACAGATGGCGCTAGGCGTCGTCGGCTGTATTAGGCAAAGACGAGGAAGAGGATACAGTCCTCGCTGAACGTCGTCGGAGGTGTTAGACAAAGAAGAGAGAGAGAACACAGTTGGAGCTGAGCATTGCCAGCTGTGTTAGACAAAGAATAGAGAGAGAATACAGTAGGCACTGAGCGTCGCTAGTTGTGTTAAACAAAGAAGAGAGAGAAAACAAAATCGACGTTGAGCATCGCCGGTTATGTTAGACAAAAGAGAGAGAGAAAGAGAGAGAGAGAGAGAACACAATCTACGTTGAGCGTCGTCGGCTGTGTTAGACAAAGAAGAGAGAGAAAACACGGTCGACGCTGAGCGTCGCCAGTTGTGTTAGACAAAGAAGATAGACAGAACACAGTCTGCGTTGAGAGTTGTCGGCTATGTTAGACAAAGAAGAGAGAGAAAACACGGTCGGCATTGAGCGTCGCTGGCTATGTTAGACAAAGAAGAGAGACAGAACATAGTTAGCGCTGAGTGTCGCCAGTTGTATTAGACAAAGAAGAGAGAGAGAACAAAGTCGGCGCTGAGTGTCGCCAGCTGTGAGAGAGAGAACAAAGCGGCATTGAGCGTCGCAGGCTATGTTAGGAAAAGAAGAGAGAGAAAATACAGTCGGCGTTGAGCGTCGCGAGCTGTGTCAGACAAAGAAGAGAGAGAGAACACAGTCGGCGCTGAGCGTCGCTGGCCGTGTTAGGAAAAGAAGAGAGAGAGATAGAGATGAGAAGAAGAGAGAGAGAGAAAGAGAGATGAGGAAAAAAGAGAGAGAGATAGAGATGAGAAGAAGAGAGAGAAAGAGAGATAGAGATGAGAAGAAGAGAGAGAAAGACTGGAGGAGAAAGAAAGTTACCTTACCGAAGGGTACCTGTCCTTTTCTTCTCTCTCCTCTCTCTCTCTCTCCAAGATGCACCTATGAACTTAAGCTAGAAATTGAAATTATATTGAATCATCGAAGGTCTCTAGTTATTTTTTACAATTTGGCTTTGCATTTTATATAGAATTGAGCCCAAACATAGGTGGATTCCCAAAATCTACCTAAAATTGAAGACAATTACAATTTAATTGAATTAAAAAAAAACCTAAACAAAGGTGCAAAAAGATTATTTTGGCCTTACCTAACAATGTGTGGAATTCCAAAACAGTTCATGTTGCTGCCCGATAACTTGCGTGATCTTTCATGACTGATCCGGGGATTTTTCTGATACCCGTTTGATAAAAAAATGATTGTTTTCTTGTAGGGCTTAGCATGACGATCGATTTGATACCAACTTCGAGCCATGAATCATGTTTTTGAGCGATGATCATGAAACTTGAATTTTGGATGAATCTTGAAACCTTCGAATCGATAGTGTACTCATTCCTTGATGTTTTTCTTATGTTTCTTTGTTGAATCACACTGAGCATGATTTCATGATCACATTGCAACAAATGCGGCTCGATTTCGCATTCGGATGAAGATTTCGTCATCTTGAGTTTTTTGCCCGAATCTTGAAATCCGGCGGCCGAAATTTACAACAGCTTCGACGCCTTCGTGTGATAAATCCAACTATTCATCATATGCAAAGTTTAGACCAGAGATAGCCACAGACCTTACGCACATAATGCAATTGGTTTCGTATCAATCGGGTACGCGAACATCGTGATTTGGCCGTCAGAGTGCGGCGTGCTACTGCAGAATTTTTTGAAACTTTCTTCACGGATCATCAACTTCTTCTAGTTTTTCTCCCTGCTCGAGAATCGTCACGGGGACGTACCACCTATCAAAATGCTCGTCTCGATGAGAAGAACACGCTCATCAAATTTGAGCGTGATCTGACTCGGATTGAGTGAGATATAGACCCTAAAAGTCACTGCCCGTGAAGGTGAAAACAACCACCTTTAATGGTGTTTTGGTGTAGGGTGCCCACACGGGAATAGTATGCGGCCTACCCCTTTTCCCATAACTTTGTCCTGGAGTACCCAATTAAGCCGAAACTTGCCTCATAGGGGTTTTCGACCATGTCGGATCCAATGACAGTGGTCCCACAGGGTCCATTTTAGGGTGCTAGAGGCCAATCTTTCCGAAATTGTTGCTTTGTGTTCATTTCGTTAGACATATTTGATTGCGATAAAACTTGGTAGATGGCCTTTTGGAGTCCTAATGAAGATCTTAACCAATTCTGATCCCACTATGAGACTATCGAATTTTTCACTGTTTTTGTAGGCTTTAATAACATGCTTCCTCTTTATTTCGCATCAGGAACCGAGGTGCTGAAAAATGTGTTCAAACAATGTATCCACGGGATGAATAAGGAAAGAGTCAAACCTGGTTCTGTTGGTGTTCAAGACATCGCCAGACTACGGAAACACTGTAGCAATAAGCCTAATATTGAACGATATCTAAAAGTGTCAGAATGACCTCAAATTGTTGGATGCCCTAAGGACACCTATAATGTTTCGTCGCATTTTGATAAGTTTTGAGCTAATCAGGACAAAACTCGGTTTTCAAATCTAGTTCCTCCCATGCTGAAAAATGAACATATAACTATAACCCTATTTTCTAGGTCTCTAAAGAGTATCAAACATCCGCTATTGGATCTGTAACATCGAAAAAACCCCATGTACCAAATTTTGGTTCAATTGGA